AAAAGCAGCTCAGCTTAAGATTTAAATGGAAAAAAAGGGTTTAGAAAATCATCATCTTATATTTAGACCTTTCCTGAACTTTCAAAGATCATTTTGGATGGTTAATAAAGTGTATTCTTTGTACCAATAATTAATAGAGTTTACATTTCAAACCTACCACAGACGGACGTTTACATACATTTGCTTCCCTTCCCTTATTTCTACCTGAGTTGCGCTCACTGCCCTCCTGTTTAACACCTGTGATGAACGGGGACGGCGTGGCTCCGGCGGGTCGGTCTGTCAGATAATAGACTCCGCTCAGCACAGGTTCAGAGCAATGGTCTAAAGCCGGGCAACACTCATCAGAGCGTCGGGTTGCAGTGTGAAACAAACATGGTGAGCTGGGAACTTTTAAACACTGAGGTTTGGTCGTACAGTCTGAGCTGTAGCTGCGTGCAAAGATTGAAAAAATCATAGTGTAAGCCCGGCTTTAGGGGTTTAACCCCTTGTTAAACCCGTCATCATGGACCAGGAAACCTTGCGTTTCCCCTCCCAAGTCCCCAGATGAGGCCTTAATATGTATGTGAGCGTCCACACCAGCCAGTGTGAGCTCCTCACACCTTTGCTAAAAGTATAAAAGTGTGGTACGGTGTGTCCCGCTGATCACAGAGAGGAACATGAGGTTAGAAAATATTTAAATATTGTGCAGAGTTTTATTTGAATTCAAACAGGTCGGTTCAGTAACCAGCACTGATCACAATGCAGGTCTGGTTTTCCAATGAAGTTGATCTACGATTAAATTTTCTGATGCAAAGTGAATCCAAACGCCTGAGAGGAATCTGGCTTCAGCTCCTCCATTCACCATCTGTGTCCAGCGCTCCTTCACACAGGACCACCGCTTCAACTTACCTCTCGTTCATGATGTCGTTCAGGGTGCTGAGGATGTTGTCCAGCTGTTTGACCATGGTCTGAAAGAGGACAGAAGGTAGGAGGCACTTATTCTGGGTCAATACTTCTGGCTTTAGACCAGAACCGGGCTTTCTGGGAGCTGTTACTAAGTTCTAGATGTGTGATGCTTCACAGGAAGACTTGAACAGAACATGGCAGGACTGACCACTTTGCTCTCTCCATGGCTGATAAACTCCTTCAGCTGTTTTAGGGTGACCAGCCTCCGGTCACGATCGTCCTCCCTGGAGACCCTGCGCAGGAGGTTGGCCAGTCGAGACTCCTCAGAGTGAGTCATCCCTCTGTCTGCAACAACAAAACCAAAACGTCAAACAGGTCAGATCTCGCTTCATGGAGACTATTGTTGCTAGGCTTAAAACTATCCTTTTT